GAACCATCACCAAACCGGCCAGGCTGAGTAACATCGATCGTAAATAAAACCTGGAACTGAGCGCTAGTATAATACGGGTATACCCATTAGGGTAGACCTTAAAAGCGCGCGCGATTTTATAAATCTGCGAGTCGTTTTAAAGCAGTAGCGCCGTACAAAACTAAGCGTAATAACAGATACGGTAAATTAAAGGTACAAATCAATCAGTTTTCACTCACCCGAAGACACTTGTCACCTCTGAGGAACATGTCTGTAACTACGGTACAGCAATTGAACAAGTACAAAGCGCTGACGGGAATCAATGACAGCGTCGAGAGTCAACTCACGAAGTTAACGTTTAGCGGTTTTGTTTTCAGTTAACAAGCGTTGACCCGTTACTAATAGACTATTCCGAGCGACTTTCACAAGAAAATATTTCAACTATCCCTGATACATAAAAAGAACATCTGATCTGTTTACAGTGTAACGATTCCGCCGTCTGTGTCGTTTTCATAGTCAGGTATGTGGGTCTGAGTGCACTGATCTCTAAAGTTTTCGTGACCGGAAGTGCAATCAATTTCGTTCAACCTTCTCATGCCCCACGAGGTGGCGCTTGTGTTGTGGTTGGTGACGCATTCAATCGTGGTTGGCTGATCACATGAAAAGCAACTGATGATACTTTAGAAATCACTTTGTCAAAGAAATATTATTTCACGCAACAAAAGAAAAAAGGGGTTGAATAAATTTGAATAATCACTACCTTCATTCCAAACATCCGAAATAAGCAGAAGCAGTTGTAAACAAATGTAGCTGGTTTTGAAAACAAACATATTTGGGGGGCTTTTGCCGAAAATCAATCAGAGTTTCTAATAATCAATGAGTGAGGGAAAAAACAAGATGGCACGGGCAAAACAAACAGATCGACCAACATGGGGTAACAGAGGGCCAATATTGGCCAAGCGTGGAAGGTGTCAGCGGTCTGCCTTGCTGGCTCAGTATCATTATGCCAAAAAAATGGCGGAACGATTTGTAAAATACAGTTGGGCATAGTTCGGTCATTGTTTCTGCACAGTTTATGTTTTCATTAGTTTGTAGAATCATTTAGCCCGTAGGACCATGGATTCCGTAGCCGAAGACGATATAACTCTTCCTTTGGATTTTGATAGGAGGTAATTTAACAATGAGCTTTTTATTGTCTTTCGCTTTGTTTGACAAGTTGTTGCTTTATGCCCTGTCTCGATCAACGTGTGGTCTGGCTTAGAGTAATAAAAACACCAAGTTGATCTATTATTTATATTGGTATTGTTTCATGAGTCTCATTTGCGGCTTGAATGAACTCTGTTTTGATTTTGCAATTCATTTTATTAGCACTAATCTGGCAAGGTTTAAGGAGGCCGTCGCAGCTGGTACGGGGGGCGACATGTTAGATTCTTCTGCTGAATTTTCCGAAGGACTAACAGTAAGACCAACAACTACAGGTTTGTAGCTTACAGTTTCCTTTTACACTCATTTTTAGAGGTCCGTTACATCTTAAGAGTTTCCCTGAACTGTTTTGTTATTCATACAATCTTTAACCTCCGCTTTCGACGGAGGCTCTAGATAACCTGAGCTTATTATTTCAAGCTGCAGCTTAATTTGTTCTGTCACGTGTTTTAAGCTTAATGCATACACATGAAGTGTCTCAGAGTGTTTTTGACAAAACATAATGTGAACTTCAAGTTTGTGTCTTTGGGTAATAATTAACCTTTCTAGCCCTCGAAAGCAGCTCTTAATTAACTACAGGCCTGTAACAGGTGCAGCATGCAATTAATGACATAAGCCTTGCTGTTACAATTCCCTCTGGTTACCTTGCACAGTGGTATTTCCACCAGTTTCAACGGTAGTCCAGTCCCTGATCTCTCCCTAACCTGCCTGGTTGAACCCAGGTGGGAGAAGAAGGAGTCCAGCTCCATGGACATTGGCTCTGTGGACATTGGCCAGGCCTCATAACCATTCCCTTCTATTAACACTTAACTCAAATGACAAATTCAACTACGTGACCAAGTGTGTGACTTGTAACAGTGTTTAAATCACCATCAGCCTCCATCTGTCTGTGTCAACTATGAATTATGCACCTTAGTTGTTGTTTGGTGCCATGGTGCCGGCTGGAACACCATCAGCTTTGGCTGGTCATTCTGATTCTGGAGTGGTAGTCCCTGCCACATCAAATGCAGGTGTGAGTGGTCACTAGGTTGTCTCCAGAGGAACATACCTTTCGTGTGGCTCAATTTTCTTTGGCCAGGTTCTCAATCTTTTCCTCTCCTGTATTGAGTTATCTCAAGAACACACTGTTCCATCTGCTAATGATGTTTAAATATGTAACAAAAACTTGTTAAGACTGCATCTGAAAACAATTGGTTTAATGAACATGTATTGGAAGTAGGAACATGCAATGTGGAGGCGTTATGCATCTACTGGCGTGAAAAGTGATGGTGATGATGATGAGGACGGTGATGATGATGAGGACAGTGATGATGATGACGATGATGATTATGATGATGATGATTGAGATGAATGGAGACAGAAATACCAGAATATACTGAATACTAGAAATAAACTAGCTATTAAATGATTACTGTTGATATAACTATAGATAGCGTTGTTCACTCATGAAAAAAAATCATTTGTAGTGAACAATTTGAAATCTAGCAAGTGAGTACAAATGATGAGCTTTCCAGGCTCCACTAGTCACCAGTTTTAACAAAAAGCAGCTGGGGCCCATTTCTCAAAGGTTCCAAAAAGTTTTCGCACTCAAAAAGCTTTAGCAAAATCTCAAACCTTATGACTTCAGAGCAGTTTTATGCACATATTCTTAATGTAAACAGAGGTTCTCTTCATACAAGAAGTTTCAGGCGTATACACCTCTCTGTCGTTAAGTACCGATTAACTAAAAATGGCTTTACGGGCTGAAAAGTTTCCAGGGCTTTCGAGAAATGGGCCCCTGGTCTTGCTTTTCCTGAAGTTGCTCCTGTGTGCTTGCAATTTTTAACTCTGGAGCATGTATTTACCAAACAGCTGGCACATATGCCTTTGTATACTGAATATGACAAAGGAGCAGCTTAGGGATGAGTTGCAAGAACAACACTAGCCACAAGTACATTTGCCAATCCTGTTTTTAGGTGCTGGTAATCAAGATGGTTCTGGGTCACCCCAAACAAAAACAATGAAAGATTATGAATATGTAAGTGACTACTAATAATATAATATATCCAATATTAATTACTGGACTTAGGTGTGATATAATCATGATTGTCCAGCAAGAGCAATTTTCCTAAATACAATTTGCCTTTTCTGTAGTTTGCCATTTCTTTTAACCATTGTGATGTGTATGTTTTGTATTTCAATGTATTCCTTTTTAGAATATCGAGGCAACCATTCAAATGATCCAGCATTCAATTTGGTGACATCGTTAAATTTTATGATAACTTGCATTGTCCTTTTACACTTATAAAAGGATCTTAATCAACTCGAAATTTTATTTTGTCACAGCTAATGCAAATTGATCTGTTGAAATAGAGAACATTTTATTTGCTCAATAACAACCCTTTTACTCACAATCTCCTCCTTGCTGACCCTAAATTTCTTAACTGTGCCTTTCAATAGCATGCAAACACTGATCTTTTAAACCTATGTAACTAACAATTACTACCATTTTCGAGCTACCGTGAACAGCCAACTTTTTTCCGTGTTGTTCCACGCTTAAAACATTCAAGTTTGTCTAGACAAACTGTCACATTTTTGAATTGAACCAATTAATGTTTAGAGCGTGAACAAGTCAAGTTTTGACAGCTCTGCCTGAATGTTTCTGCACATGAACACAGGTGTTGAAAACGTTGCGTCGAGTTTTTTGTAACTTAAGTGCAGGTCCCTGAAATAAATAAGAATAAAAAGTTCGAAATTTCCAAAGGGTATTAAATCTGTGAACCGACGAAATCAGCTCATGGAATTTGAGAATCGTCTCGGTTGTACAGGACCAAATTTTTATAGACTATCGGTTCAGGTGACATCTTGAGCCGGAGAATTCTTATGTAATGGCAGGTGTTATGTCATGTGTTCCGGCACCCAAGTGAAATAAGGTGAAAACTATGTAAAGCTTTTTTTACTTTTTGTTCAAACAGGAACAAAGTTAAATCCCAGAAATAATTACCTGTATAATTCACAACATTGAAGACAGCAAAACAAAAATTGAGAGGAGAATACAATTTCTGCTCTCAGACATGCTGTCTAGCTGTGTCTGATCCTGTCTGCTCGATTCAACATCGTTTTTCCGTAAAATGTTGTTCATATCTATTATTTGCTAATACGTAAGCTGAAATAGAAAATAAAAAAGAACAATTTCCGTATTTGAAAACGGCAAAATTGAAGATTTCTCGTAGAAGGAAAAGCCAGCTTGTTGTTTGGTGTCAGGCTGCTGCAAGGGTTTGGCAGTTATCTTTTGTGGTTTTATCTCTCATCTGATTGGTCACGAAACATTAAATGTTCCAGAAATTTCCTCTGGTGTTCACGGTTTTATGGGAAAGACTGAGTGACCCTATCTGTTGAGTAATATGAATGTATAAGCTTGACTTGCACAATGGACATGGTTTACAGTACAACTGGCGAACATACTTTAGAATGTTACATGTACATAAAACTCGATGCAACGTTTTCAAAACCTGTGTTCATGTGCAGAAACATTCAGGCGGAGCTGTCAAAACTTGACGTGTTCACGCTCTAAACGTTAATTGGTTCAATTCAAAAACGCGACAGTTTGGCTAGACAAACTTGAATGTTTTAAGCGTGGAACAATGCGGAAAAAAGTTGGCCGTTCATGGTAGCTCGAAAATGGTAGTACATTTTTAGCTGTCGTCAGTCATAATTATGACATCGACCAATGAACAGTGAATTGGCGTGTTATTGGAAGGCCGAGCAGTAAGGTTGGTTCAGAGGACTTGGCATAGCGTAAAGACATTATCCTGTTCAGTTGATTATTCTGCGGTACTTACTCTCATGATCAATCTCTTTGAGATCTATTGATTTTGTAAGCAGAAAGAGGTTTTCAATTACTCTTGGAAATAAAAATATGGAAAGCTTTTCACAGATGTAAATCGTTACTTAGCTTCCTGATCATCTGTGCTTAAGCCAGACTACTGTTAAGTCCAGATTTCAATTTCAGTTTAATAGTTCATGATATGCGCATATTTATAATTTCTTTGTCTATGTTAACTGGAGTTATTAGTGAATGCTTATTTCATTTTTCATTTCACACAATTATTTTGAATCTTCATAATAATGTTAAGGTCTTGAATCATTGTTGGAAAATTGAAAATCCAAACACTAGAAAATAGTTCAGTTATAAACTGAAGATGGCTAAACCTATAAATATGAATTATATTTGTTGGTCAAAATTCATATTATAAAGAGAATTTGCATAAGAGGAAACCTATATTTCTGAGTTTAAACAATGGCAAAACAGCTGAATGAGGTTTGAACATTTTTGTTTTGTCATAAACTTCAAAATATAATATAAAATAATATACTATAAAATGTAATTTGTTTTGATTTTGTCTTTTTTCTCTAGGTAGGTGGCCAACAAATTAAATTTGAATGTGTAATTAAATTTTGTGTGCTTTGTAATTATTGTCTGTTCACAGCAAATATCTGAGCTGAAAAAGGAGAATTTTGGTTTGAAGCTGAGAATTTACTTCCTTGAAGAACGTGTGAACCAAAATGGTGATGTTCCAGAGGATATTTTCAAGGCAGTAAGAAAGATTTTATTTTTATTTTTAATTGTGTATACAAATCTGATGTGTTTATTTCTTAAGTGACAATCTACTAATCTAGTAATCAACCAGCAATTTAACATTTATAAACAAGTCACATTAGCCAAAGAAACTTCATTAAGGGGTTTGCATAATATTGATGGACTTGATCCTATAAAAGTATCATTCTAAAAGCCATGTTTATGTAGGAGTTGTTAAATATAGAAATTAAAACCTATGAAACTAAAATGACAAAATTATGCAGTTTGAATTAATCATATGTCGATTAAGGGATTAGTTGGTAAAAGAACTGTCATACCAGCTGCAATCAACAGGAGTGTGAAAATACCTTTATCGTATTCATGATAATTAAACTTGTTTAGTTAAACCCAAAAAAATGTGACAGGAAATTGGATACCTTTATTTACACTGGATAAAACTGAGGGAAAATTTATCTCATTTTACCAGTAGTCTCTATACAAAAAAAAAGTTACAAGGCCCAACAAATGTTTAAAAAAGGGGTGCTGAACCATGTCCATATAAAGTCATTGTGATGGATTGAACTTTCAGAACTTTAAAATGAATCAATCACTTTAAACTTCAATGTATCGTGATATGAATTTGAAGGGTAAGTGAATTTCGAATATCAGAAAAGGGGAAGCAAGAGTACTGTACCCTGTAGTGAACAGATTTGTAGGTCACATTAGGCCACTGTCGATGTGATTTGATTAGAATGGGTAATCAAATGGTGACGAGTGAAATTAGGAAATGATTTTGCGTGCATTTTATCAAAAGTCACATAATTTCTGGAGCCTCTAGGCAAGGGAAATTATGAGAATTTTGACAAAATACAAGTGAAATTGTTTCTTAATTTCAAGAGTATAGTATTTGATTACCTTAAATTTAATATCGTGGGTGACAAATTACACTTACAATTGTGGGTTTTTGACATGTTTATTTATCGAGAAATTTTGCACCAAACAATTGCACCATGACGATTTTGTAATTTCACATGTGAAATTATAAATTAATGCTGAAATTTTGTGCCATAATATTACTGTTTTAATTAATTTTTAAAGAACATAGAACTCAAGGTGACAGTGGAAAAGCTCAAGAAAGAGCTTGTTGAAAGACAGGAATTGCTGGTCAAGGCCTCGTAAGTAAACACTGAAAAATTGTTGTAAATTACTTTGTTTTGATTGTATTCAAAATGGGAAGAGAGGGTGCTTTAAGAACATTTATTTTAAATGCTTCCTTTTCAAAGCTAAATTTATTTTAACATACCTTTGATTTTGTTAGGAATGCTGTTGAAGCCTTAGCCCAGCACAGTGACACACAGATTAGACAGGTGTGTATTGGCTAGTACATGTGTTAGCAAGGTTTAAATTATTCCAAACAGTTATGTGTGTTCTGTTTGTAATCTCCTGTGTATATAATTTATTTCACTATTCGTACAGCTAACAGAGGAACATAATGAGGAGTTAAGGGAAATCAGAGAGGGATATGAAATCAAGCTCAAAGAAATGGAGAAGGTTTGCTCTTCAACATTCTTGTTATTGTTGCATTGGCCTCATTGTTGCTTTCTCTAGAATACTTTGGGGTATGCTTTGTCTTTTTATGTAGGACTTGGCTGTTGCAAGGAATGGTATGGAGGACATGGCTGACAAACTTGTACGTAAATGGGGATTCTTTTTCTAAACAAGACTGTATTCAAAACATTTGGTAAAACATTTTTGATCTGAATGATCTGTTGTTATATTTTCTCTTCACAGGCTGAAACTGCTCTTCTTAATCAACAATTAAATGAGAGACTATTGGAGAGTACTGATGGCTTCCATGATGATCAGCAACAGATTCAAGTATGTTATGATAACCAACTGTTGGTTTTTTAGACCTCTGTTGAGATATCAAAAATTTTGCATATTGTTGCCGGTACTGTGTAAGATAATGACAAATTAGCCCAAGAAAACATGTCTTTTGGCATGTTAAGGTGATTCCCTAGTAAAAAACCCACCATAGATTTCTTGATGAAACTTGGTATGCTGTTGTTACAGGACAAGGAGATAGTAAAAACGTAGTAAAAAGAGGGTCACCGTGCTTGTTTTCACGCCACAATGCTGACAAATATGGTTATTTAGGTGACTTTTAGTAATCTCNTATTTCACTATTCGTACAGCTAACAGAGGAACATAATGAGGAGTTAAGGGAAATCAGAGAGGGATATGAAATCAAGCTCAAAGAAATGGAGAAGGTTTGCTCTTCAACATTCTTGTTATTTAGTAAATGGTTTGAACCCAGGAGTATCAGTAGGTCATATAGATGACTTCCACTCAGGTTGGCGAAACATCAGTCACCATTACAACAGTTCTTTCCAGAACTACCCTCACCCGGACGATCACACTATATGACCTATTCTTGTTATTTTTGCATTGGCCTCATTGTTGCTTTCTCTAGAATATTTTTGGGTATGCTTTGTCTTTTTATGTAGGACTTGGCTGTTGCAAGGAATGATGTAGAGGACATGGCTGACAAACTTGTACGTAAATGGGGATTCTTTTTCCAAACAAGAATGTATTCAAAACATTTGCTAAAACATTTTTGATCTGAATGATCTGTTGTTATCTTTTCTCTTCACAGGCTGAAACTACTCTTCTTAATCAGCAATTAAATGAGAGATTATTGGAGAGTACTGATGGCTTCCATGATGATCAGCAACAAATTCAAGTATGTTATGATAACCAACTGTTGGTTTTTTAGACCTCTATTGAGATATCAAAAAATTTGCATATTGTTGTCGGTACCGTGTAAGATAATGACAAATTAGCCCAAGAAAACATGTCTTTTGGCAAGTTAAAGTGATTCCCTAGTAAAAGAACCCGCCATAGATTTCTGATGAAACTTGGTATGCTGTTGTTACAGGACAAGGAGATATTAAAAACGTAGTAAAAAGAGGGGCTCACCATGCTTGTTTTCATGCCACAATGCTGACAAATATGGTTATTTAGGTGACTTTTAGTAATTGCCGTGCGCAACAAATAAGCTCGATTATTTTTCAATGCAACATGTTATATCACACAGAGTTTGACTTTCTTTAATTGTTTATTCATCTACGTCCCAGAAAAAATGTCTTCCAATACCCTGCATTTTTTATCCTTTAAAGGAAA